TCGCAAGTGCAGTGTCCCAAGTTCCAAAAAGTAAGTTGTTGTAGGGGGAAAGGCTTTGCTGAGTTGGGCACCAAGGGCACCTCCAGTGAGGCTGCCCAGAGTTTGGGATCATCTTCATGGTTCTGGGCTTTTAAGAGCCTCCTGTAGTGGCTCTTGGGAATATGGTCAAAGTATGGATTATTTAAGGAACTAAATGGAAAAGGAATTTGAAAAACATCTGAAACCCAGCTAGTAGGTCAGTCCTGGCCTACAGAGTGAGGATGAGGATATGGGGCTGTTCCAAGACCCTGGGTTTCCAAGTTGCCTTTTTTCACAATGATGGAAGCTGGCCTGCCCCGGGCACAGCCATGTGGCATGCAGGGTCTTGTAAATAGAGTGGTGGTAACTGGTCTTCATAGGTAGGAGACCTTAAGTGGAGGTTGAGGCTCCACAAGGAGATGTAGGCCTTCCATGCTTAGCCTAGATACAGGACCCAGGCTCATTCAGTGAGAAAGGCCCAACCTCCTGTGAGTGGGAGGCAGAATGAATGTAATGCAAGATTGGAAAAATGTTGGGTGTCCCGAGGGTCACCGAGAGATTAAGGCCAGCCTGGCATACATTTGAGTTAAAGGTCAGCCTGATTATAGCGAGACCTGGTGTCAAAAAGGGGAAAAATCCCTGTGGCCCATTAGACTTGTGGAAGAGAGCTCTACATTACCACTGGCCTAAGTTCCCAGCATCTCTAAGCATACAGCCCTCTGCTGTGCCCAAGTCTAGGGGAGGCCCAGGGCTGAGCTGAGAGGAGTTCCTGGAACCTCTTGAGCTGGGAAAGACTTCTTAGAGCCAAAGGCATATGTTGAGATTTACAGTGAGGAGAGGACTAAAGGGAAGTAGTTCACAAATCCTCGTCAGGTCCTGTGGTCTGCCTGTGGTTGGGACTGCCCAGGCTGATTTTTCACCATAGCCTGAGCTCTCCTGGCCGGAGCTCCTGAGCCTGGCTTAGCCATCCTACCTCACAAATTCTCTCCTGAGGTTCCCCACTTCGGTGTCACGTCTGAGTCCCAGCCTCTTTGCCCTTGTCTTTGGCAAGTGATACAGGGCTCCCTCCAGGGTCCTGGGCCACAGTCCCTTCCCAGGCCTCTTCTCCAGTGCCTGGGCCCTCACCAAGCTCCAGGATGGTGGGTAGGTGGCCCTGTTTTGGAGAACGCTTGCGCAGGCTGAGTAGAAAGGGCTGGGGCAAAGAGAAGATGTCCACGTTGTTGCCCAGATCTATCCACGTGACATTGGGGAACTTGCTGGGGTCCTTCAGGGTGTCAGTAAGATCACGCAGCAGGGCCCGGGTCAGCCTGTTGCCATTGAGGGCTAGTGTGGTGAGGCGGGGCAGGGTGCTGAGAGCCGGTAGGAGCTGCAGGACCATGTCGTCCGTGAGGCCT